TAAATCTACTCTAATAAATAATTTCTTAACTGTTAACAAATGTTCATTCGATTTCTTTTTCAAATAACATATTTTTCAGCTGCTAATAAATTATGTTAGATAGAAAGAAATACCTCTATCAGTATAGTAAAATTCTATAAAGGACAATTATATATAATCGGATAAAATCTTATATTATTATATAGAAAATTTTTATCAGGTATTTTTTAATGATTTTAAATACAAAACAAAAACTTCGAACAATTTATGAAAGTACATTTTTACAATTCTGTAAATTCTTTGTTTTCATGAAGTATATTTTTGTTTTAATGTTTGTGTTCCTTCTGTCCTATACTGAATACGTTTTTTTTTGTACATTTTACTGAGCGGCCCAGTAAATTTTGCTGGGACAGTCTAGTAATGTCGGCCCATATGCGCGCGCCCAGTAAAAATTTTTCCGGCTTTAGCAATTTTACTGCGTTATCGCATGAATTTTTTCTGCGTTTCCCAGTAAATTTTACCAAGCTTCTAAGTAAATTTTACTGTATTCTTCAGTGAATTTTATGAAGCTTTAAAAAATCTATAAATAAATAAAAATAAAGAAGCATTTTTTTATCAGATCCAATCTTTTATTATGTATTTTTTCTAATTAATAGCATTGACAATCTGAAAAATATTTACACAATCATTTTTTATATTTTTAAGCAAATATTTTCAAATTTACGTCTAAGTTTAAATGCATTTATATCCTTCAGAGAATATAAAAAATGATTGGGTAAATATTTCTCATATTTTCAGATTGGATCTAATGAAATTTTTTTTTTCATTTTTATTTATTTATTTATAGATTCGAAAGTTGACAAATTATTATTAGGTTTTTTAATATTGAATAAAAATTTTTCTCTTCATATTTTAGTATATTAATATCAATGAGAGTAAATAAACTGTGGTACAATTTTTCTTTAATAAATGCCTTGGATAAACAAAATTTATTTACACGAAAATAATCAACAAAAAAATTTAATCTAAAGCACGAATAAGATTATTGTATCCATCATGCAAATTATTATATCTGGAGTATGAATAAATATAAATCAATAGTGATTTTATAAAAAGAGAAAAACTTATATAATATTACATTACATTATTTTCGTTTTTAACATTGATGAAGCTTAGCTATCCAAATTGGTTTATGCTTTTTTGCATTTAACATCGAACGTGTACATCTATTATAATGTAATTATTCAGTACATACTAGTGCATGTTACCCTTTTCGAATAATGAATAAAAGAAGGGTGTCTTTCAGGTGAATTCAATAGAATCCTATGGACATTTTCGTGATCATCGACATACACACGTATTGTATACAGAGCAAGAAAAGGAAAAAACGCTATTATGTCCGAAACGAAGTGAAACCTGTTTCAATCAAAGAAATTTTTTTCTCTGTAGAGACCTCGATATATCCACCTCTGATATACTGATGATTTTTCCAAGTATCCTGTGTCCCCGTAGAATACATATGTGTGAGAAGTGTAAAAAAAACGAAGTCGTAATAGGCCAACGAACTTTTGGGGCTTGAACAAAGTTAACAGATGAGTTGATTTATTTTCGCAAACAATTAAAATTAATATTGAAATAAATAAACGTTCAAGGTAATCCAACACATTTTAATAATATCAAGTAAATCTCTGTTTATTCATCTTTATCATCATTTAAAATTTTATTATGAATTCCAAATAAATTGAGTTTATAATAAATATCCAGTGAATATTATTTCAAACCACTCAAACAATAAATACTTTTCCATATTTTTTTTTCATCGCAGTTGAAGCTTCTTTTTATTTAGAAACTCGTTTTCTTTTATAATCAATTTTATACTAAATAAAGATGTTTTATATTTTACTAACACTACACTGTAAATCCCAGTTTTCCAAAATGCATTATTTTAATGCGGATAAGTGTGTTAAATACGACGTCACCTATTTGATTAACATTGTAGTCACTTTTAACGCGTTTCTAAGTGTGTAAAAAGTTACTACAATGTTAATCAAATCGGTAACGTCATATTTAACACACGTATCCGCATTAAAATAATGCATTTTGGAAAACTGGGATTTACAATGCAGCTTTTAAAACTTTAATGATTTTTAAAATTATTGATGATCAATTTTTTATTAGATATATAAAATAATCTAAACCTTAGGTCTATTAAATTAATTTAAAAAATGACAGACAAACAAATACTCAAAACTAAAGAGATTACATTCGACCAACTCGAGTCTCTTTAGAAATAAATGAGTTTTTTTAATTTAAAACATTTAATAGTAAGAAATGTCTGAGTCGAGAGAAAAACTATATATTTAATTATAAAGTTGTGGTAGATTTTTCAGTTTAAAAAGTACCAATTTTTGTGTGTTCATATGCACTAATTATGATTACCGTAGAACAAAAAATTCCACTCTTGAATTTAACAGAATGACATTTTTTAACAATGGAAAATAATTGTTTATTATTTAGAAGTGAGATAAAGGTATGGAAATTATTATTTGATACATTTATTTTATTGTCTGAATAAAAATAAAAAATATCACAGCAATAAAAATGTAATTGTTAATCATACCAAGTTTGAAATCACGTCGAAAAAAAATCGCTATTTGAATTACAAGGTCATTATTTATTATTAAAAACATAATAATTCACCAAGCATATCGGGTTAACGGACGATCACTCCAGACTAGGAAAGATACAATCGTTAGAGTCTTGAATCAACCTACGAGCAACAAGAGCGGATTAGTCAGAACGATAAACATGCAAATTTTGGAATTCCCAAAATCGTACCCGGATGTGTTCTCTTATGAAATAAAAGAAAGACAGATGAAAATCATTAACTCGTTTTTTAAATCAATTTTTTTTAATAAAAGAAAATTTATTATTGCAATAATCAACTTAATCCATGAAAGTCATCATTACTTAAACAGTGTTATAAATTTTAAAAATCATGATGAAAATTTTTGAATTTTTCTTCGACCCACATATTAATATGTCAAGATGATTTCAAGATATCTCTGTAATAATTGAATCTTCTACAAGAAAATGATATGAGTAAAACGACGAAATGCTTAACTATTACTTATGAGTAAGTTCTAACTAAAATTTAGAGATCCGAGAAAGTAATTAAAACAATTAATAGAGCATACTCTAATGTGCTAATGACTGTGGTTGTTTAGTAAGACTCAACAGATTGAAAATATAATTTAAATTACGATTAAAGTCAAGAACAACAATCGAAACCTAGTTCGATTGTAGTTTTCTTGTTCTATCATTAACATATTCAAAATTTGGGTATTGTGATATCTGGATTGAATATCATGTTTTCATCACGATGAGAAAGAAGATGACTCGAAATCCATCTCTGTAGAAGAGATCATTTTGCATACGCTTATGAAGTTCTCGAGTTCGTAAGTCATGGTTTACCACATGAATATATGAGAACACTTTGAAAAGATGTTTGCGCATAGTAGAGTAATGAGAGAAAGATACGAGAGTATTTTACTTGAGAATAAACTGTCCCCTTCGGCATTCTCATTTTACGTTCAGTAATATATTAACGTTAACATGGGCGTACGCCTCCACTTGAGTAAGCTTAAAATTCATTGTTAGTACTTACTTTTTAACATAGTTAGAACTTATCAGTTCGTGTCCTTGTTGCAGGTAAATGCAATGAAGCAGCATGAACGAACCGCGAATTGTGAATCACGAACGTGCCGGCAACGAGATATGCAAATGTATGAACAGCAGAAACATTTGGCATGCGCCTCGTCTCAGCCTTCCATCCGGCTACATAGATTTTCCTCAACATCATGTTGTGACTTGCTATTTTCTCTCCTTTCAAGCATTCCAACATTTTTGTCTTCTTGTTTTACGTGGAAACCAGTATTATCCTATGACTTGAAGTGTAAATTAATGCAGCATTGAAATAAGTGAGTTTATATGACCAAATGACTCACTGTGAGACTAGCAATAACTTCACAACCACTTTCTTAATGACGTCATTAAAGAGAAGTTATTTTTGATTGGATCTTATTATAAGACATTCTTACATGCACTCAAGAATAATATTACCATTATTTCATATTTGATATTTTTTTATCATTAAAAACATTTTAGGTCCCAAAGTTTCAATGTATTTTTATACACTTCAGAGAAGTTTTTATAATACTCGAATACAACTATTTATTTCTAACGAAAAATTTTAGCTCTAACATTTAATTAATAGATTCACTGAGCACTGTTAATTGAAATTTTGTACCTCTACCAGCAAATTCATTTTATTTATTTTATCAGCTAAATCATGAACTTGTGGTTTCTTTGTAATTTACTTTATAATGCTTGTGATGAATTATAATTTTTAATCATCCAAGTATCAAGAAAAAAAGTGTTGGTCATAATTATTATTCAATAAAGAGAGCAATAACGGTTTCAAAAAATAGTCATCACCACAAAATATTGATGTAGATTTGCTTAACATCAATTGTTACTTTCTCTCAATAAATATTACGTGTTCATGTTTTTGTTCAGTCATATCGATAAAGCTTCTAAAAACTCATGAAGAGAAGTTATCAAATAATTGCTTTGATATAAATCAATTGATGGCAGTAACTCGTGCATGATGAAGTATTATATTTGAGACAGTTATTAAATAACCCTTAACAATCTTATTATTTTCTATTTCTATCGACTTTTTGGCAGGAAACCCATTATTATGAGATCTTTGTGTATACTAGAAATTTTCAGTAATTAAATTGTATCTTCTTTTTAATCCTAGAGGTTTTCAAGAGTATTCATCTTAAGAGATATTACAGAATATATATTATTAATGAAAAATGAATGAAACTTGATAAAATTCAACCGTATACCTTCTATGTATCTGCTAATAAATGCTTATTAAAATTTTTGTCCAATTCATGACCAAGCAGCAACTCTGAAGCATGAATAGCAAACATAAAAGAAACCTTTAAAAATAAATTAAAAACACCTTTATTATGTGATTACTTAAGTTTAATTTTCTAGCCCAAATTCGTCAAATACTCATACTATTTGACCAAATTAATAACTTGAGAGTTTGTATAGCCCAAAAATGCATACTAGAGTCATGATAATGAGTTTGACCTGTTAATGTAGCTTTATCCCCAGAACCTATTCTTAGATGATAGCTATTATGTGAATATGGTTTCCATTGATCAGGGTCTTTATGATAACTCGTTTTGGGAACCCTAGAAAAAACCATTAACAATGATTCAAATCATGCTTTTTTTTCTTACTGCAATAATTTATTATAAAAATAATAATTACTGTAAATTGAATTAAATATGAAATGAATATACGTACCCATGAATTGCAAAATTAGTCCACAAATCGACCATAATATTAACCATTTTTTTATCTTCATCACTCATAGTAAGGTTTAGAAAGTCATATTCTGCTGGAGATGATGGGAATAAATAGATCAAGTCATCACCATGAGTGACACCAATGTTTTTGTTTGAATGCAGAATGCTGGAAGTTTTACTGAATGTTCCTCGATACTCAAAGCTATAAAAGTAACAAGAACTCTTTGTCCTCTGGCTTATCAATTGAAGTTGTAAAACTTGTGGAAATAAGAAGGAAAAATCAGAGATCAAGTCTGTTATCACAGACAATACCTTAAAACAATTAAATTGATAATGGTATTTAATTGTATCTATTGGTAAACTTTACTCATAAACTAATTCTCTTTTATCAATAGTTGAAACATACTTGAGTACGATCAGATGTATCAACGTCATAGAAGTAATACTTTTCTAAATTACTTCCTAAAGAATTCGAATCATTCTTAGATAGCACAGCTGATGCCATGAAGCTCAGAAACTCTGTCACATTTGATAATGCTGAATTATATAATTTTTCATCAACGTAAAACTCTGTAGAGGAAGTGTTAGATAAGTGTCATTAGACATCTAGATGTGGATAATAGTTTTCTCTTATTGTTGGTAAAATACTTTACTTGTTGTAACGATGAGTCCTTCATTTTTGACAGCACCACTTATGTTGGGTAGATCTTGCATTCGGCTACCTAGAATAGTTTTAAGAGGATGCTCTGTAAGAAAAGCTCCGTCGACATTTGGTTCTGTCGTGGGTATCCAGACCATTGGTATAAATTTCTGAACACCCGAGTATATGTCCGTAGTAGTTATAAGTTTCTCATGGTCTATATGTCTCAAACATTTAACCAAACTGTCCGAAGTTACATTCGAGCATCCAAACTCCTGTCCAAGAGCGTAAGCATATTTTCTGGAAAAGGTTGGATTTACATGTGCCCAGGGGCATAATGCAACTCCACTCTGAGCTATGTATCGATGGAATAATCCTGGAGTAAATGAATTAAATTTGAATTACTTTTCTGTAAATACTTTCAAAATTACCAGTTGAATTAGTTTTTTGAATAAGAGAAAATTTAATAAAGTTAATTTTCCGAGCTTTTGCATAATAAATCATGTAAATTTAATTTACTATTCTTTTATAAAAAAGTAAAGTTAAAAGTTCATGAACAAGATCAAAACAAAATATTATTGTTTCAGAAATAGATTTAATTAAGTATTGTTTTTATTTATTTTTCGAAAAATAAGCTTTGAAATTTTTAACAATAAAATAATTCAATTTATTGAAAAAATTAATTACTTATTACCTAATTAATTCATTACTTTATTATTTTTGTAATGTTTAACGGGTTGCATAAAATTTTATAGTAAGTATTTTTTTTAATTAAATGAGTTTATATTAAATCTCAGTGAATAATGTATTATCATAATTAAATTTAGATCTCGATATTTAAATTTATTTACCCTCTTTAGTGTTACTTTATATCTTAAATACCCTAGACTGAATCAAGAAGTACTATTTCTGGAAGTTTGACTTCTTAATAACAATTAGTTATTCTTCAAATAAACAAACATCTAAATAAAATAATAATTCTCAACTTTCAACTCTAGTTACTTAGACATGCAATTATCGGCATGATAACTTTATTTAAATTAGGTAGGTCATCATCATAGAAGTAGGGTAATAGTCTATCAAGGTTTACCTTAAGCAATGAAAAACAAATAACTTACCTCTTGACGCCTTGGACAAAACATGAAAATTAACACTAACACTACCCGAGCTCTGACCGAAGAGTGTTACATTTCCTGGATTTCCGCCAAAGCTCTTGATGTTATCTTGCACCCACCGTAATGCAAGAGCTTGATCCTTTAATCCAAAATTACCGGGAGCTGCAGAATTACCTGTGCTGAGAAATCCAAGCACCCCTAGACGATATTGGAGGGTGACTAGAACAACGTCTTTATCTAAAATGAAACCTGGACCAATGTAGGTGGAACTAGCATGTCCTCTTTGAAAAGCTCCTCCATGAATATAAACCATAGTTGGCAGCAAAGTATCAGCACCTAGCTAAAAAAGATATGTTTGATAAAACAAACTAGACTAAAGTCTTATCACCAGTTAATTAATGAATTACCTTTGGTGTATATACGTTTATAAATAAGCAGTCTTCTACACCAATAACGGTGCCGTTATCTAGAAGCTGTGGGCAGGCTGGTGGTTCTGTCTTAGCTAAAAGTGTTCCATTCCAAGATGTCATCGGTAATGGATTACTGAATCTATAAATTGTCAGGGTAATGTAAAGATATGAAACTTTATTGATTAAGAAGAAGATTTATGGTACCTGAGAAGTCCAATTGGCGGTTGGGCATAAGGAATTCCTAAGAACGCATTAATATTCCTACCGTTTTGTGTAACCATTTTAGTCCCAATAATTTTGCCAAGACGGGTCGTGATCTCTGGATCTACCGTATGGCCAACACATTGATAAACAAAAGCAAATAATGCTATGAATATTGAGCTGTAAGTCATGATGGCTGACTGTTTGCTGTTATGTCTTCCGGCTGTTTACATGCTGCAACGAACTGTTTACTGATAACGCTTTTTGATAATTCACGGCAATTATTTTTGATGACGCTATTTTGCGATAACTATACCTTTTTTTTTATTTACTATGTAATAAAGTATTTAAATATTTTTATGCTAATCATACATAAATTCTTGTTTTGGGTGTCAATAACACTCTATTTTCTTTGCAGTGATTTATAGGGTGTTCATTTCTCATGGGAGTTGAGGGAAAAATTATGAATCACTTAACTCTTACATTTAAATAAAAACCTTTGTATTTTTTTAAAAAATTATTTTAATAGAATTGAAATATACTCTTATTAATCCATAAATTTCAACAGTTCCAATTTTTTTTTATTATAAAATTTTTCCTGCTGACAATGAAATAAAAATTCCCACAAGAATAGACTTTCAGCCTGTCAATCTGGAATAATACATTTTTAGTAAAAAGGATGATGTTTAATCTCCAATTATTCTATTTTTACCAATAAAATTTTACATGAAGTTACTCTTGCGAGTTTTAACTGCAATTCACTTTTCTTAAAATTAATTCTAAGAATCTTCAATGAGAAAAGTTAATAAAAATTTCTGAAATAAAATTTATTGATAGCTTTGATTCGATTATTCTTTTGTTTTAAAACAGATTGATATAAATAAATCAATCAGTTAGAAAAGCAGATTATCTTCTTTTAAACGGTGCTTTTTATTAATTCTATCACTGATTTATGATTATCCAATAAAGCTTCAATCGAAGCTCTAAGACAATGTTTCCATTACATCTTAATTTACAATTGAAATTTTTTTATTCCAATTCTCTCAATAATTCTTGACAAACTTAATAGAAAAGACTTAAAAACTTTTAACTAATAATTTTAAAAAAATTTACAAAAGTAATTGCTCATATTTGTACGTACACAAAATTTTTTTTAGTAAAAATTCTAAAATTAGCAGTACAACAATTTCAAATATTATTAATTTTTTTTTTATTAGAATGTGTAAAATAAAAGGTCAACCACATCAGTTGAATTCATTATTCATTTCGAATTATGGTCGTGGAGAAAAAATAAAACAACTGTAATTCCCGGAAGAAAATGGAACAATTAAGTAATTGTGAACGGTTACTGAATGATATAGGTTAACAGTAGTAAATTAAATGAAGCATCTGAGGTGGAGTCGATAATTATTCTTGAATTGTGAAACGATAACGATTTTTTTTTGCTGTCAAACCTCATAATCTACCTCAGAATATCAAGCCAACAGTTACAAGCTTTTATTGGGGCTAAGAATATTAATCAACCACATAAATTGAATTGAGGAAACGGAAGTGTTAATATTCCATTCAGTCGATGAATTATGTCTGAATAAATAACTTAATATAATGTTGAATAGGTTCAGAAAAAAAGGATCTGCTGGGATCTACATTTGCTTCTATTCTTTGGCTCACGAGTTAGGTCCTAAGGTTTTAGATCAAATCTTTCCTTTTTTTTTTCTATTTTCTCCAAAATCATGCTTCTACCTTAAAGTTTCTTTATTCAATTTGACTTTTGTGATGTGATTGAAAAAGGATTCTGAGCCATATGGCTAACTTTGGTAAAATCAATTTGACACTTTGAAAGTATTTATAAGAGATAGAGTTAAATAGGATATGAGCATCACTTTAAATTTCCATTGCTTTTTTTTTCTCTCTTTCAAGGATGAAATAAGAATACGATTAGGCTGCTCTTCCAAGAACAATATTTTACATTCTCGTTAACGAAGAAGAGCCTTCTCATTCTCTTCATTTATTCCATTCTGCTGTTCTACAGAAAAAAAGTAATAAGAGTAGGATAATTGGTAATTAGTCTGTGATTTACGAATTATGGAGGGGCTTTCATATGGTGAGGTAACTGTTCAATTTTATTAAAATTTCTTTTTTTATTGTAATAAATGCTCTAGTAATGGTAGTAAATAAAAATAAATGCTGTAATAAAATAACACTTAATTAATTTTATGAGGGAGATTAGTTTTATTGATAAGAAATGCCTTGGTGATTATCAATATTAATATTCTCCGTCACTTTAGTGAATATTATTATCTTTATTAATGGTTATTACAATTAAATATGATGAGCAAGGTGGAATAATATTTGTGACTCTTAGTTAGTATTTCATTTTATTTCTTCAATTATTTATTTCTTTGTTTTTAATTATTCATTTCAATTAATTAAGAATATCAAAAAAAAAACTTAAATAAATCGCGACATTTATTTAAATCTACATTGAATTTAACATGTCATTTCAGTATATATTCAAGTTTTGTTTTTGTATTTTTTATTCAATTTGTTCATTATGAAATTTAAGACAATTTAAATCATTTAGAAGTGTTAAAACGTAGATAGTTTGATACTTACTTCATTGTGTGTCATAACAAATTTCACCGAATTCCTCTTGATGTTCGATTGAATCTGAATATGATTGAAAACCGTCCAATTAATTTACTTAATTGTCAGCCCGGTTTCGAAAAATTCAAGTGAATTCATACCAATAATTGGAACGTTTTTCCGTTAACCATAATTAATGAAACACTGATTGCTTTTTTTTAGGTTTTTTTTACTATCATTTACGTCGTTTTGCAATAAAATAGAAAATGAACAAAATACTTTTTCAATTATATAAACTCAGTTGCTTCTGCTTTTTTTCACATTCATTCTTTTTTATTAATAAATGTTCAATTCATGGTTTTATTATATCATTTATTCCCTTTGGATTACGTTATTACATTCAGCATCCACTTCAATTTGTAATATTTTTTTTTTCAAATTAAAATATTTTTTAACCCTGAAAAAAATGAAAAAATCATCCTACCTCTATTTTTCAATTTTTTTACAGTATAAGAGAAGAGTTACAATTTATTCTTCTCCCAATGGGAACATTTGAAAATAACGAAGTTGTAATCACGTTTATTTGAAAAAAAAAATCTCACATTTTTTACAAAAATATTTTAATTATCACCAAAATTATCAGATCTCCAAGTTAGCTTTTATAAAATTTTATAACATGTTAGTAAGTTTCATTTGAAAAATACAATAAAGTTAGATGTTTTCTAGATTTGAACATATTTTGTATAGTAAACATAAACAAGTAATATTATTATTGACATTAATCATATTTATTTTCACATTTTAAAAAAGTTTGATACAATAAGATACTTTCATCATAGATGAAACTTTTAAAACATTTCAAATTTTTTATCTTCCATTTTTAATAAAAAACTTTAAAATCTACATGTCATAAAGTATTAGCTATCCTACAGTTTACTCGGCCATCAGGATCGATAGACATGATAGCTACTGGGGTTTCACTATCATCATCCTCAATGTCTTCAATTTCTTGTATTGCATCAGATGAATAATCATCTTCATCATTGACACTGAAAAATGATAAAAATATTTTATAATTAAGTTCATACAATTTTAGTCATTAGTTTTTTATTAAATAAAAAATTGTAGAAGAGAAATCATTCCAATCTCAAACTAAAGTAGTAGCAACTTTATTACAAATTTCATAGACGTATATTATATTTTATGAACGTTTGATTACTCTTTTAGAATTTTCATTGAAAATTTAGTAAATAAGATTATTCTTTATAATAAGAATTTCATCTTAGCTTCTAATTAATTACCCTAAGCGATCTTAAAGTGTACTTAATTAAATATCTTGGTATACTAACTAATGATACTATTGGATATTAGCCATAAATTTACTTACGGCTTATTAATTGGACGCTCATTTAGTTTATCATTTATTCTAATAATTGAGCGGTTGTTATTTACCATTACATGAGCCAGTTCCAGAGAGTTAATCATCGGATACCAGAAAAGTAAGGTAAAAAAAATCTAAACAAACAATTAAATTCACTGAAAAGTTGATTAAAAATTTATTTATTTTTTAAATATTCTAGCACCGTGACTATTAGCTTGATAAGCTTGTCGTCGGTTTTGTAAATGGTTTTTATCGAAAGAGAAAAATAAAAGCGGATTTTAGTGAGCCTATTATCAATGAAAAAGGTATGCTATTAGAGTTTTTTAAAAAATATATCATTACATCATTTACATTTAAATAAAACAATAAAAGACTTACCAAATTCATTTTCAGTTTATTTCTGATTAAAGATATTGGCTCATTGATAGTCGAGTATGAAGAGGAGAATTTGATATTTAGTGGTTGAGGTAATGAAATATATTCTCTAAGAAACCTTATCGTCATTTGAACTCTGAAAAGTTTATAGAAACATTTGGAACATATGGCAATTGTAAACATAATGTAATTAATTCCATGTGATATGACATCAAATTAATGATTTAACGAATTGTGTTCAATTCATATTCTTTATTTATATATATTTAATATGGTTTAAAATTACTATTGACGTGGATAACACACATTGAATAAAAATATATTTTTTCTTTGTCATATGTCAAATACTTGGTATAGTTTGCTAAAGTGATCAATAACTTGAAATGAATTTTTGATATTTCTGAAAATAGATACCATTGGTTTTATTAGATACAAGTTTGCATTGCTTTTACGTTTTCTAAATTTATTATTTTTAAATAAAAAAAGTCTTGGAGTTTAATTTTGTATTTTATTATTACATTTTCCTCTGAATGCTTAGTATAAAATATTATTCTGTTAATCTTAAAAAAATAACTTCCTTCCATAGAACAATACCAAATTAAGTATTCTTTTTTGTTCTTTTTTTTTTCATTATTATTCTGAAAAAAGAGTAATTCCAAATCCCTTCATTCATTGAATGTATCATTTTATTTATGTACATTCCAAGAATAGTTTCAAACTTATATCTTGATAGGAATATCCTAACACACGAAGCATGTAAAAAAAAACACGTCAAGTATAGTATCAAAGTTTAAATCTCAGATTACCTAGATAATTACAAGCTTTCAATATCACTCGAAGGTATTATGATATTTTTAATCTGTTTCTTATCATCTAAACCCTACTCTATCATTCTCCATTGATAAATTTTTCCAAAAAGGTTGCTTCTGTTTGACCATCAATAGGGTTACATTGATCCCCTTCTTGAAAGCATGCGCCCTAATGAAAACAACCACGCGCAGGCGAGGTATCACCAGCGAGAGCCTACCCTTACAGTTTCTGGATCAAAACAAACCAGTCAACTCAACCATGAAGTAGTTATTAGACGGAGTTTCTTGAAAATAATTCAACTGCTTGAGAGAGAACTCACAATGAGTCCTGGACTGGGTCATGATCCGTTGTCCAGTTATAATATAACGGCTATTGGTGAGTAAACATAAATATAATTCTGTCAGTCTAGAAACTACTGAATTCTTGATAACCTGAAGATTTGCGTGCCAACCTCGAACGTTATTATAATGCACGGAAATATCGTGCTATTGTTATTCAAGGTAATGCGGCTCTCTGTCTTTGGCAACAGCCACAACACTTCCTTTTCCAACTGGCTAATTTGTGCTTTGTACTTTCGTACTCAGCACCTTCATCAAAAAAAGGCATTCTGTTCATGCATTCTGCTCTTATCATTGGTAAGTCTCTATTGTATTGTTTAGAAATTGTATCCAAAAATTATAGTTTAATTAAGAAGTTTAATTATAGTCGTTATTGTTTATTATTGTTATAGAATAAATGGTGATTCTACGCTATAAATAATAATGATAATAATAATGATAAATCTAGAGAATATTCAAAATGCTTTAGTTTTTAGAAAATATTCAAATAAATTAGATTAGTTAAATTGATGTTGAATGTTCGTTAGGTTTTATGCTATTATCTGGATGGGCATGGCACGTGATTTGCGCCCCAGATATATTTTCCTGGAATTTTAGCTTCCTTGTATTAAATATTGGTCAATTAGTCTACATAGTTTATCAGATGAGACCTGTTCGTTTCGACTCTGAACTTGAGGAAGTTTATCACACTTTATTTTATCCTTTTAAGGTAATTACTAATTCTTGGTTCACACTGAGGGAAGTATTTAATTATATTTGATAAGTACGTTATAAAATTTAATTTTATTGCTTATTTAATCAACAAGATGTCAATAATAATATAAACAACAATAAATGATAACTTATTGAAATTCATTGATAAAAATTTTGGTGAATATTTATAGAAGACTTTGAAACCCTCGGGTTTTCAGTAATGAGATTACAATTAATTAGTAACAATTTAAAGAAATCACTAATTGAAGAAAAAAAATTTAAAGATTTGAAATTTTAAGATACAAAAGGTGTGCTATTTTGATTAATATTTAAATCAATTGTTCGATTTTTATAAATAAAGCTCAAATTGTAAAACTGTTTTAGGCTCAATTTGGGCTAAGGTTTCTTCATAAATAATAACCAATAATTTTTATAAATAAAGTAAAAAATGAGTTATTATTATTATTAAATATTTATAATCCAACGATTGATGGAATTCATTTTTTTGCATCGTTAAGAAAAAATTCTTTACATTTTATTGGAATACTTCCCTGAGTAAAAAACAATGTTTATTTTTGCTGTTTAGTTGTCAATAAATAGCTGTCAATTTAATAAATAACTTTTAAACTGAAGGTATCTCGAATGCAATTCAAAAGACTTGTATCTCCGGAATTCGCAACAATAATGTCTCTGCATGCTGGAGAAGCTTATGCGATGCAAAACCTCACAAAAACAGATAGACTTGGATTATTACTGAGTGGGAAAGTCAATGTCCTTAGTGATTCGAGCTTCCTTCATCCAATTCTTCCATGTGAGTTTCTAGACTCTCCAGAGTTTGAAAGCTCAAGACCTTCAGTAGACGATAAATTCAAAGTAAGTAATATTATTTATAGAATTTGAAACAATGTAGAAAATATATAAAACATTTGAAAATAATTCTTTTAACAGGTGTCTATTGTAGCAGCAAGCTCGTGTAGATATTTGTATTGGCAACGATCGGCTTTAGAATATTTATTAGTTAAAGAAACATATCTAGCAACTGTGTTAACAACTCTGGTTGCTAGGGACATTGCCACGAAACTGTATGCGATGAATAACAAGGTAAAATTCAAAAAAGAATATGTATATAAAATATCTTAGCTTGATGCAAAAATTTTATTTCATTAGCATCTCAATGAATTTTAATGCTGTATTCCTATAATTCCAATTTATTGTTGCATCTTTTATCGTTATTCTGACATCGATTGGAAAAGATTATAAACTTTGAAAATTTATCTTTATACCAGTCAATACATATTCGTTGATGAAGTATTGATGACTATCATGAAATTTTTATTTCTGCATCAATCTGATAAACTTAGCTAAAATATTTTATAGGAGAAATGTTTATTCATTTTTAGTATTATTATTTTTTTTTATGTCTTGTTATGAACAAATGTTATAGCTGTAGTTTTTCTACGAAAGTTTTAATATGTTAGCCAAAATTTTATATTCTATCTTTGGAATATTTTATTCATTACAAAATAAGTTCTAATTGCTATACCAAATATCTTAGTGTTTGAGTTAACTAGAAACTATGAGGTATATCGAGAAGATGAACTTGGAAGATTAGTTTGCTAACGAATAAAAAGTACTGATTTTTTCTAAAAACTTGGTAGATAATTATTGATAAATATTGGTTTAGTTTTAATAGAAAAGTTAAATATTTTTATAAATGGTAATATATGGATAACCATTATTTAATGGATTTATTAACAATTAAAAATATTAATTTGTGACAGAAGAATAAATCATCCAAATTTAATACTTCCTCGAATTCATAGTATTCTAGAATTTTTTGTGAATCAACATTATTACTATAAATCATATTTACCGCTACTGTAGAAGAGGAGTGGTCGAGCGAAATTCTGAATTCATTAAAAAATTTTTTTTATCTTTTTTAAAGTTGATCATTGATAGTATTTATTATTTATTTTATACTTAACTTCAAGTTTGAATAACTCAGAATTAGACTTTTTACTTTTCCCAAAACTCTAATTGTCAAACATTTAACTACTTTAAGTGAATTTTAAAAAAATTACTTAACATTTTAAACGATAAAAAAATTTAGCCTGAAAAATTTTTCAATTTGTTTCATGAAAAAGTAGATTCAGAAATTACTTATGATGGGAAAAAAACATATAATTTGTGCTATTTATTTTTATTAAAATTATAGTAGTGAAAAAGCAACATGAAAGAGTCAATTTTCCTCGAGACAATTTTTTAAAAATACTCCTGGGAATAATAAAAAATTAATCTCTAGCTAGATCATTACAGGATTTAGTTAATTAATAAATAATAAATGTAATAATTCTTGAAGGATTATTTTTTTTAATGAGTAGATTCTAAAAATAACATCAATTTTCTTCCACTTCAATCTATCATTTTTCACTCAAGCAATTTTTCTTCATCATTAAACTCAAAAAAAAATAGTCCATCTTCACTTGTCGTTAGATAGTTACAGATAAAGGCTCACACTTGGACATAAGATTGCCATCAATAAGTGCTGGTATAACGATGAGTAGTGAATACAGAAGTCCTAGGACTTCCAGACAGACTCTAATACGTCGAAAGGAAGGAAAATCAACTGCTAATAATGGTAACTAATCTCACCAAAGTATCATATTAATTATGTTTTAAATAATACAAAATCCCTATTCAATAATCTGGGTGGTTCAAGTAATCAATTTATTTGCACAGTAGGTGGTGCTATACCTAAAGAACGGCCAGCAAACAATTTGACGAAACTTGGCGCGCCAAACATGGAGCCGCTACCCGAGATGCCGTCTTGTGATGATTTGGCTTCCAGCGGGGTCGAGAGCTGGCTGGAGACATCCAGTAAATATCACAGCTGCGAACTTGCCGATGAAATGGACGAGTAAAGATTATTCAATAATTTATGATTAATTGAAAACTAATGAAAATGTTAGACCCATGGTCTTCCTTATTTTTCTACGTCAATATCGGATGCAAATAACTATTGGTCCTTGCATTATTTACTGCCCAGAGCGGTCTACATTGATTGTAACTACTGTATTATTATTCAAAGTACAATAAAAATGTTATGATGAAAATGTGAATGTTATGAGAAGTATAGCACTCTAGTGGAAATTACCATTTCTGGATTTATTTTTATGATTGACCAGAAATGTAGCTGCTTTTCTAATCAGAGTATGCTAAAGCATCAATCAGAGACTGATTAGAATGTTAAAGAGCATGAAAGCTATATCTTTTATTTAGTTTAACATAAAAACTCATTTATTTTTTTAACAACGAAGTTATTGAAGATTTTTGTATATTTCTTTTCAAGAATAGGAAGAACATTTTATAGTACAATTACTTAAGATGCTAGAATATTTTGTTAGCTTCTTGGTTGATGATGAAGTGATAGTTTTAAAAGCTTAGTATTATTGGAAGTAATTTCTACTAGAGTAATTCATTTATACAAATATATAATAATCTATTGATCTGTTATACATGAGTAGCTATTTAATATTCACAACTGTATCATTTTTATTACAATAAACATTTAAATAACACATTCCAGAAGATTTTCTCAGAATTACCTTGTTCATAGTCACGTTCCTTCCTACTCAATTATTCATAAGCTTTATAGACAGAAGTAAGAAGCACTTGGGTAAATTTGATAACCGTTCAATATTATATTTTGAGTAAAATTATTGTGAAAGATAAAACAGTATTTCAACTTGTAACACAAAGATGATGGAATATTCAGTACACAAAGTGTTTGAATTTCATTTAAACACGTGACTGAGGATGACTAACTTACTCCTTAAATTATCATAAGTGATATACAGTTAAGACTTGCAGAAGCGCGTGCTAGGGAGTTATTTTTCATAGAATTACAGTTCAAGGGTGCTCGCTAGAAACTCTATAACCGACATGCAAGCTTGCTGAAATGTTTGCTAGAAAATGTGGCAAGCATCCAACTTACTTTGGAGGAAATGTTTCACGTTTGTTTCAATCTCTTTTATAGCACATTTACGATTTCTTTGACGAAAAAAGGGACAGAAATTAAAACGTTATTATTTTTACTAAAATATTTAACATTGCTTCTGTCAACTGTACAGTTGTTAGATTTGGCAAGCTTCATTTCGCTCATGACAATAGGTCTTGTATGTAAGTTATGTATTGACGAGATAAATGATAAAAATGTCTAGGATATAATCACAATGAAAAGTTGCCGCAATTATGTTCATCTGACATCAACAATTTTTGTTCATGGTCAGCAAATATTTTTCACTAACCACAAACCGGCATAACTGGAGTTACAGACCAGCTGAGCGATTTGTAATCACGAAAGAAATCTCGTGCTGGCCAAGAACCAAAGTTTTTTACCTAAATTGTAAAAAATTTCATAAAAAGTAAACAACAATAATACTTGGCTTAGAATTATGAGTAATAAATAATGTGGAAAATGGATTGAACGGCTATGAGCTACTAAGTTGCAACATTTTTTCAATTACTCTGAGTAACAAAAAATAGCTCTTTTTTAAATTTTTTTTTAAAAAACGAAGTTTCTCAATATACTTCATCCGCTTATATTAAAAATTATTGTAGATTTTTTTATTTTATGAAAGAACTGACCTAAAAATATACTCCATTTCCACGATCACCAGATGCAGTTTTTTTTAAACAAAGAAAAAGAATTTTAATTAAAAACAAAATGTTAATTTATAGTTAAAATGACATTTTAAGTCGTTCTACTTTGTTAATCCAAAATGAAGTGTCAAAATATCTTGAGAAAAACACCAAAAGCAGGGTTAAAAATACAGAGAAAGATTTTGTTCATCTTCTAAAGCGTTTGAGCTTAATGAGTTGGCAGAGTCTTTAGCACGTTGTTCAGTAATTACTGGTTCGAGAAAGCAGGTAGAAACATTAGACAAAAGCAACCCATTATTAAGGGAAAAATCAATTTCAACAACTGTTTACACGACCAACTTAACAAACAAACACATCAGCTTATTCTGATACTGTTCTCTCTGAAGGATGAAAAATTAACCAAGTTATTAATCCATCAGCAAGAAAGTGTAAAATGGATCCAACCAAATGGAACATTTTTGGCGAAATAACCTTGGATAAAATCATCATAAATTGCTCACTATTTTCGTGAGAGTTACTATAGAAGTAAATATAACTTCCGTTCATCACGAAAACCGCTTTATTCCGTGAACAAAATCTGATTATCAAGGAGCAAATTCTTGCATATCATGATGGGCTTAACGAAGTCGTCTTGAATTTACTCGAGGCAAGGGCCTAAGTATAAAAATCATTTAGTTTGATTGATCGTTCAAGTGAAGCCAATTTAGTTCAGTAATTACACTAGGGAAATAAGTTGTTTCATCATTTGATCTTCGAAGGTAGGTATAATGTATGTTAAGTTTGAAACAAATCAAGAAAAATGGATTCGTTTCATTTTAAAATAAAAAACCATCAGGATGAGAGCAAAGTTCTCAAGCGTAAATTTTTACAAGCTGAGTAAAATGCTAGAGAAAAAGATTAATCCGAATACTCAACTACTTGAAGGTCGAAAGCATCTGCAAGTGTAATCGGAGCACACTTCGACCTCGAAGCGGTAGGTCCTATTATTTAGAGAGTTGATCTAACCCAAGAATCTAACAATATTTCGGCTCACCCTGTATTTATACTCGCTATTTTGCATTAAATAGAGGTTGGAAATATAGTATTAGAAAAAAAGTATCTGAATTAGTTTTATGTGACATTTATAAATGTTACAACATCAATTTAATCGATTTTTAGTTGATAAAAATTTTTCTTTGCATGAATATTTTAGAAAGTGGAAACGAAGAAGCTTTTTAACATTTCATTTTTCACTTAAAAACTTATACAAATATGTACAATTTTTTCCAGAATAAAAAATTAATAAGGTTTTATCAAAAATTCAAAAGTGTTGGAAAAACAATATTACTAATTTTTTATCCAACTGTTAGGTGAAAATGACTTTTTAAAATTTAATAAAAATAAATCGAATATTTATTATCTTTTTTCAGAAGTTAAAAAAAAATTAATGAATAATATTTTAATAAAATATGCGGTAAAAAATTTATTAAAAAATTCTCAAGTATGTCTAGTTTTTAAAAAAAGTTCACTTTTGTCCTGGATCTTTATAAGTTTGTTTTTATCCAGTTTAATCTGTTCTTGTTCTTTGCAGTTCATTTTCTTTCTTGCATCTTCAGAATGTTTATTCTGTCAATGAACATAATAGGATAATGAAAGTAATAAAAGAGCAATCATTTTATTATGTAATGTATAAATCTAAATAAAATCGGACAAATCGTATTCGTTACTTAACTAGCAGAACTATACGAATAATAGCAGTAATGAAATGAAAATCAGGGTTATTAAATGAAAGTTTAATAAAAGGAATGAAAATTTAATTCTTTTGGTAAACAAACGAGAATTTTCTTAATTAAAAATATCACAAATACTCGTATATCGGAAAAAAGGTAAATTACATTAAAAGTTTAACAATGAAGTTTAAATTGAAGTTTAAAATAACAATATACTTTTTAAAAATTATTTTTCATTATTATGAAATAAGGAATGAAAAACAATGCCACATTTTTAGAACAATTTTAATGTTAAATTTGTTGGATAAAAAGTGATAGAAAAAAAATACAAAGTGCAACCTGGAATGTCAATACGACTAACTTCCCAGTGGTAGAGAGGAAAAGATTTTTTAGTTTTCAAAATCAATTAATATTATTATCATAATTTATTTATTTATTCAAACATTTATATAAGCCCAACAGCAAAGCCAGACTAGGGCCACAGATAGGTAGTAATAATATTTACATGAAAAAAAGTAAAAACAATAATAAAGCAAACATAATTATTATAATTATATTCATTATAATTATTGTTAGGAGATCAGGTGTACAAGTTTTGTCTAAATTACAAAATGCAGCTAGTTCACCATTTTTTTTAGATTTTTAATTCTGAACAAAAAATAGCTAGACCGATTTTAGTGAAAATCTAAACAGTTCTAAGTTGCACAATTATGCCTCGAATGCAATTAGTCTTATGTCGATATCATTTTTTGTTCTCGAGATAATTATATCAATATCGAGACGAAAAATAATTCCGAACGCATATACGTACATACACATACACAGATGTCTACTTAAAAACTGTTGTATGAGAATCTGGGGACCTTGAAATGGGGAAATTTGTCTAAATTCGTGATTCGCAAGGTCGGATCCATTACCATAACTTTCCACTGGGAAGCTAATTAGATAAAGTTTACATTGAACTTTTTTCGTTAATAATAGTAGTATCTAGTGATCATACTAAAAAAAAAATGCAAACTGTCATTATTCAAAGTAGATTAATGAACTAAGTTTGAATTTTTTCCCAATTAAAAAAGCAAAAAACATTTTCGACTTATAAACTATTTCAATAATTTTTTAGTACATAATACCCGTTGCAATTTATTATTTTGCAATATTTCATAGACTGTAAAATTTACTGAAAAATTTCATTTATCATTCCTTAATCAGAAATGAATTTCAGAGAATGTAATAAACGTAATGACGAGAGTGAAAAAATAAAGCTTTAAATGACATAGAAAATTCAAGGCTAGATATTTCATAATTAATATTTTTCATGTGTTATTAATGTAAATTACTTTGCGTGATAAAATAAAAATTGTTTTCATAATATTAATTACAGATGCAAATTGATTGAAAGAGTTATTTTTTTCATGGATATCCATTAAAACGGCTTTTACCTATCGATTTCTTTCACAAACTTACATTTCTATAATTCACAGAAAAAACTAACAATCTTTCTACTTCAATATTTTTTTTACAAGCATCCCAAATCGAATAATAATTAATAATAATGAATAATGCACAATAAAATAATTATGTTAAATTCAGTAAATAAACATTAATTAGAAAATGTGTCAAACAAGCTTAAATTATTAATTAAACTGTTGCCGACAACGCGGTTGTTTAAAATTTCAAAAAAAAACATGAGAATTAAGTTGATTAGTAGCAGAAAAAAAAAATAAAACACCAGTAAATTAACAAAATACTTGTTTTTTTTGTAAAATTTTAATAATTTATCATAACTCACAAACTGCCTGAGTGTATTGTCTTAAGTGTGAATCCAAATCCTTACTATGTTAATTTTCTAACTTGTCTCATTAAAAACTGCTGAGCCATGGAAAGAACAATTTATATTTATAGTAATAAGCTGAACAATTTTCAAATGTAGGTTAATGATTGCACTTTTCATTTTTTTTTTTAATGATAGTATTTACAAAACTGCCCTCCATAAAAAATATTATCCTCTTTTATTCTATTTTTCCCCTATTTATTGATTAAAAAATTAATCATTTAAAGATACAAAATGGACCACACACTTGTCATAGGATTAGTCATAAAATAAATATACTATGTAATTTTTTTGATATGATAAATATTTAATAACGAAAATTCTAGAAGAGTATCTTTCTCGAACTTTGACATACAGATCGTATATCCGAGAAATT